ACCACAAAAAAATGCACCAAAAAAACACAAATCATACCACAAAAAAAGGCACAAATCATACCACAAAAAAAACACAAAAAACCGCACAAATCATATCACAAAAAAAAACACAAATAAAACAAAAAAAAAAACACAAAAAAACACAAGTCATACCACAAAAAAACACAAAAAAATCACAAATCAGACCACAAAAAAAAACAAAAAAAAATCCACTAAGTTGTGGTGGGTTTTGTGTGTTTTTTGTGTTTTTTGTGTTTCATTTTCCTTTTAAAAATAGCGGGCCTCCAGTTTTCTTTTGTTTTAAAGGGCAGCCCGCCCCCCCCCGGGCCTGGAACACCGGGGCCGCCCACAGTTCCGGCGGCCTGCCCGGCCTCTGCCTCCCCTTCTACCCGGCCTGCCAGAGCCCAGCTCTGCCCAGCTCATTTTGTCTGGCAGCAGAATCCCCAAGCCTTTTTGACTGGATCGATATTGTCGATCATTTCTTCACTGCTTGCGCTCAGATGAAAAAAAGCATCGGGTTGACTTGAGGGTTTTGCAGCACATGATTAATGTAGCCAGCGTTAGAAAGGGCAAATGAAAGTCATCCTAATGCCAACTATGGCTAAATTGCTGTGCTTTTTTTGTGGTATGATTTGTGGTCACTGTTACTGTGCCGGGGCAAAGCCCAAGATACAACCATGTAACATGTACATAATGAATGTACAGCTTGTTTACATTATTCGCTATAGGTTTGATTTGCGCCAGGCTTTGGGTGCTGGCTCTGTGGCGGGAGGTCTCGTCGTGTGCGGCTCACTGAGTGCTGTGGGAGTGGCTTGGCGGATAAGGGGCAGAATGACGAGGAAGATGAGGATGAGGATGTGATGATGGTGAAAATCATCATGGCGTTGATGTGCTATTATTCATTTGATAGTGAAGTGAGTGGAGGCAGTGGCTGGTGCTGGGCTTGCATTTGCTGTCAAGCGCTTGCTCGCTGACCAGGCCCTCCAATGTTCAAGCAACTCCAGAGCTGTTTGAATTTCTTGCAAATCAGGCCGGTCAAGCAGACCGCACTTCCGAGTACTACGACTGTCCCTTGCGATTGCTTGGGAGTGCTGACGATGATTCTTGGCGTCCAATTGGTTTGGTGCACAGAGTGGAGCCTTGCAAATATGAGATTCAATCAGATTGAGGTCTTTCACCTCTTTGGCGCAAGTTTGGAGTTTCCTCCTGAAGATGGACAGCTCGCTGTTTTTGTATGCTTTTCTTTTTTGTGGTGTGTTTGGGATGTGTTGCAGATCGTGAAGAAAGAGAGAATACAGTGGGCTCAAGCAGTGGCAGAAGCTTAGTTGGTTTGCAGATACGTGAAATGAACAATAGTTGGCTCCTGCTTCAAGAAGCTTCTTGTGGACTCAAAAGGAGGCAACATGCGGTTTGCAAGGACTTGGCACTGATGCTGAAGTGGAAGACACGCATTTTGGCCTACTTCGTTTGGTTTCAGGGTGTGATGTATATTGAGACGCGAAATACTTCGATGTAGTGTTCGACACTTCCATGATAGGGTCCATTAGATTTTGAGACACTTCTCACTCACGACACGATGTCCAATGCTTAGGCCCAGACTCGAGGCTGCAGGGTGGTACGCTGTTCGAGTACAGCCAGGGAGTGCTCCAGTGTGAGAAAAACAGAAAAGGAGTGCGGCGCGGAAAGGAATCATGGAAGATCATGGAACCAATGGAGCAAGACACGGAACCAACTCGCAGATGGCTGCCGTTTCTTTGGTCCATCAACGCGCCAAGGATACCGATTATGGCACCACAGATAGAAAACTCCACTCCTTCGGTGAGTATGGCACCAAGACACAAATCGTCAAGTTTGTCGTTCACAAGACACTCATATCGTCAAATCTGGCAAGTAATGTTTGTTGGTCACATGTGTTTGCGCTGAGGTTCCAAACATTTGAAAATGATTGACACTTCCTTGTGATTCATTGAGTGTTCTGAGGTTTCATGTTGGCAGCAGAGGTAGTAGCTACCTTCCTGGAAAGTTGCTGCAACAGCCGAAGCCTGAGAGAAGAACCTGAGATAAACAGTCTACAATGAGCGTTCGCAACCTGTAGTGATTTTCATGTCTTGTGTGAACTTTAGGCGCTTGCCACGCACTTTCAATGAAAGTATGGAGAATATAGCTCAAGAGCGTCGAGAGGACATGCAGAATTTACTTTTTGTTGAATCGAAGAAGAAGAAGAAAAAGAACAAGAAGAAGAAACAGATAAATGCAAAAGGAAGCAAGCTCTTGACTCCGCTCGTGTGTGCTTCAAATTCAAACAACGGTAACGGTGACTGTACCTTCATTGTACAATCCGATACTTGCTAGCAAAAATCACTAAGGTCATTTTGTTTTATTAAGATGTCTAGAGAAGAACCAACTTTCCCACAGCTGCGCCCTGGAAAGACTTGCATTGCAGCATTGCATCGTTGGAAATCACAAGTGAAATAGGGTCGCCGCCCACACAGACATCAAATCCCTAAACTATGGTCCACCGCCCAACGGACGGGCCGTGGTGCGAAATGGCAATTGTGATCGGCCAAATGAGTTGGATGTACGTTAGGAACAAGTGCCACGCTAGTAGTAACAGGTGCCTTACTGGTAGTAACAAGAAGCTATTAGGAACAAGTGCCACGTAATTAGATTGGGGAAGATTCGTTCAGTATTTACCCCTGCGGGTTGTTCCGCCGGCCCTTTTGGCTGAGGG